CCCCCCCTACCCCCCCCACCCCCGCTGAAATGTAGATATATATTAGCTGTTCACCTTTCACAGTTTTTTTTTAAATGGCAGATTCCATTTTGGATTTGACTTCATCTTGGCCCCGTAATGTATTCATTTCTTTGGCAGGGAAGGTCATGCACTGTCGCCTTAACCACCACCCCCCTCACCCCCCCCACCTACCCCTCCATGTTGGAAGTTTCTGTGTGCTCCTGTTGCTCTGCCAGGTTGATGGGAGAATGTCACTGGCTCAAGACTTGTCCCCATTCCACCCAGTCTGCATAAAAGCCTGCCCCTGTACCAACGGGGCTGTATCTACTTGCTCTTAAGGAGCTTTCACATCAGGTAGTGCCCACTCTGGTCCCCGGCGTTCCTAAACACTAACTTCTGCATCCCCTTCCTTCTGCGGAGACCCTTCTAGAAATCCCTATGCCAGTCCAGGACAATCACAACCACACTTAAGCTGCTGAGAAGGGTCCTTCCTAATGTGGCTGGAGGCCCCTAGGTCTCAACTTGAAGACTACTCTGTGTCTACTTTCACAGGCCTGTTTTCCACTGAAGACTTAAATAAACTCCAGCAGCACTTCGCCGTGTGACCTAGTCTGTTCTCTGTTGCTGTGATGGAAGGCCATTACCAAAAGCAACTTGGGAAGGAAAAGGTGAAGTTCTGTTTACAGTTGTCCATCATGTAGGGAAGGCAAGAACCTAGAGGAAGGAACTCAAGCAGAAGCCAATCCGGATGTCTGCCTCCCAGCTTGCTTCCTATGGATTGCCCAGTTTGCTGATACAACCCAGGACCCACAGTGGGATGGGCTCTCCTACACCCACCAGTCATTAATCAAGAAAATGTCTCCACATACTTGCCCACTGGCCAATCCGATGGAGGCATTTTCTCAGTTGGTGTTTCTCTTCCAAGTTGACACATAGACAAAAAAAAGTCCAACCAACTAAACAAACAAAACCCTTATCAGGATATCATATTAATTCTCTTATATCTTCACCACTCCCTCCCCCAACCTGTTTCTTCAGGGTTCTCAACTTTTGTTTGCCCTAACAAAAGCAGTATGCCTAAACTTTACCCCAGGGGCATAGTAATGGCCTGGCTGTTGTTACTGCGTGGGTCAAAGGCAGGGTGTGAACTCATAGCCTTTGAGAGACAGAGGATTTAGAGGTCCAGTCCTGAAGATACTGTCCATCCCTGAAGGGTCCTTCCTGATTCCTGTCCTCCAAATAGACTTTGACTCCTATGACAGAGATGCCTCAGGAATAGTACAGAGATTTTCTAGAAGGTTCTCCAGGCCTTCTCTGCCCAGCTACCTAAGACCAGAAAGAAGATGAAATGCACCTAAGTACACCCTGCTCTGACAGTAGGTAAAATCCTTGACAGGAAGTCCTTGTTTGGTAGAGGTCACCTCCTATGGATGACTGCAGCTCACAAACATGGAGGATATATACCTGCTGTCATCTATCTGGTCTAACCTTCTAATGCCAGAAAAATCCATGGGTGGAAATTCACAGACGGATACACACGGGTCCGATGGAGGGCTAGATGGTGCCGAGTTTCTCCTTCAGGATGGTTACCTCCGGTTAGTCCAGCTTCCCTTTGATCCTGGGGGGATCACGTTGTGTTTGTGGAGGAGAAGCGGGCTTCCTCCCCCTCAACTCAGAGCACTCAGAGGCAGTGGAACAGAAAAGGGAGGGGCAAGGCTTAACTTCAGAGGCACTGGCCAGCCAAACTGTGGCCAGGCCTGCGACTGGCTCTTCTGGAAGTTGAAGAGAGAGCCATTGGGGCTGGCAGCTATGGAGCCTGGCTTCCCACATGCCCATCCAGAGACCACAGGAATCAAGCCAAGAGGCTAACCAAGGGAAACAAATTTATTTAGAAGGGTCCGGCAGGGTACGGGAAATTCATGCCCCACAAGGCATGCTCCAGGTCCATCTGTAGCTTACTTACTGCAGGCTGAGGGCTGTGAGCCCGGTAGCAATAAGGACCATGAAGCCAGGCAGGAACAGCTCAGTGTATCTGTGTCTCCTCTCACTGGCTTTCCCAGGCTGCTCCTTGTAATATAAGAGGTGTGGCCCATACTGATTACACAAGTCCCACTTACAGCACCTTGAATATAAGAAGGGCAAGGGTTTTTGGACCACAAAGTTCTTAGGCTGGGGCGGTGCAGGATTAGAACTTCCCTCAGGGGAAGAAGGGAAATATGGAGTGACTGGACAGTTTCTGGTGCACTGTTTTGATGAAATGTAGAAACGTTCAAATAGTCCTAGTAGGAAAGAAAGAAAAAGATATTATGAGTTTGAAGTCCTGATACCAGAGCCTCTCTAAATTATGTGTACCCCTTGAGACCTTGTCAGAGACCTTTACTCAATGAGAGCATCCATCAGAGGGCAGAAACCACTATACAAGAGGAAAAAAGGCCAGGCTGCTTCAAGGTGGACTGTGTGGTCCTCCACATGCTATGCGGTTTTGTGCCTTTATTTGGAAACACAGGATCCTTGATCCTCAACTTTTAAAACACAAAATTGACTCAAGTGACTGAAACAGACAGAAGCATATTGGAAGGACCTCTGACCATCCTGGCTTAGACTCAGCTGAGAGGCTTGTCTTCCAACCGCATCTTTCATTGCACAAGATAATTTTTTTCCCCCAGAAGTCAAGTCAAAGAGAGAGAAGAGGGAGTCTATGAGCAAGGGGCATCAAGATCATGAGAGGGAAATCGACAGAGATAACCAAGCCCAGCTAGTGGGAACTCATGAAATTTAGACCAGCAGCTGTGGAGCCTCTACAGGATTAGGCCCTCCGCATAATTGAGACAGTTGTGTAGCTTGATCTTCTTAAGGGGCCCTCCGGCAGCAGCATCAGGATCCATCCCTGGTGCATGAGCTGGCTGTTTGGAGCTCACTACCTATGGTGGGACACCCCACATAGCCTTGAGGCAGGGGGAGAGGCTTGGACCTGCCTCTACTGAATGTACCAGGCTCTGCTGACTTCCCATGGGAGGCCTTATCTTGTTGTAGGAGGGAATTGGGGATGGATTGTTGAGGTGGGGGTTGGGGGAGAAGGTTGAAGGAGCAGGAGGAGGGAAGATCTGTGACTGGTATGTAAAATTAATAAAAAAATTCCTTAATAAAAATAGTGTTTTTTATTTATTTATATTTATATATTTATTTTATATTAAGGAATAAAGCTCTTATTAGCTGAGCCAAGTCCTGTCTAGTGCTTTACCATCCTACCAACTTCCCAGAACACAGAGAGACCAGGAATATGTGTGTGGTAGTGGTGGTGAGAACTGAATTTGAATGCTCAAGTGCCGGAAAAAAAAAAAAAAAACAAAACACCTCACTGCAGGTAGAATGTTATGGCTTCCCTGGATCCGCATTGGGAAGCCCTTCTTGTATGCAGAATTTCTGCAGTGGATCAGTCTGCAAATACCCAAGCCATGGCCACTTCTCCGAGAATATCTATTAAGCTGTAACTGTCCTTCATAAAAAACTACATAGGTGCTAGTCTCAATAAGGCATCTGACATCATTCGAGAATCATTTTTTTAAAATAAAAATAGATAAAGATAAATCTCTATTATTCCCCCAGCATCCTAATACTGCTGACTGATAGCTGTTGTTGCATACTTTTCTGCCTGGCTTGTGCTTCCCAGCACTGAGGCCTGCACCTGCTTCTCAGGGCATTTCCCTTTCAGTGTGTTTGTTGGTTTGGTTTGGTTTTTTTGTTTGTTTGTTATTGTTGTTATTTATTTAAGGTCACTTTTGATTGACAGTTCCTTTTTTTTTTTCTGAGACAGGGTTTCTCTCTGTGTAGTTTTGGAGCCTGTCCTGGATCTTGCTCTGTAGACCAGGCTGGCCTCGAACCCACAGGGATCTGCCTGGCTCTGCCTCCCGAGTGCTGGGATCACCGGCCAACAGCTCCTATTCCTGACAGCATGTATTGTCCTGTCCACAGGATCGTAGGAAGGACCCAGAACAAAGTAACACTTACGAATGGCAACCACCACACAGTACTTTTTCGATTCAGGACACGTCTGTGGATTCGTGCAGTTAAGGCTGTTCTCTTGCTCACAGACGTGACAGTTGATAGAGGCTGAAGAAAGGGATTGGGAAAGAGAGAAAATGGGACCATTGTTCCTCCCGCAGCACCAAAGCTGTCATCCTATTCCAAGTGGCTGCCAAGTCCAGTGAGCCCCCAACTCTCCCCATGCCCACAGTCTGTGCATGCCACCTCAATTCTCAGCCTCTGTCTGGAGGCTCCCTCACCCGTCCACTGGGTATTTCATTTGGTCCCTCCCATCTGGGCGCACTGCATGAACCCACATCCTCAAAGAGACACTCTAGTGTCCAGAGATGCCAAAGGACATCCATGTCCACACCGCCCTCTCGCGTTACTTCCAGCCCCAGAGTTCCACAGCTACCCTTTGTCCTGGCCCACCCTCCTTTGTCCCATCTAGGATGGGACCTACAAACTCGCCTGGGCCAGGATTAGGGCAGCTCCCGTTTGGGGAAGACAAGAGAGGCACCTTCTCCCACTAATTCCCTATCCCCAGACAGTGCTGAAGCTCTGAGGTCAGGGTGGCCTTGGTTTTCTAGGGCTTTTTTTTTTTTTTTTTGGTTGGTTTTTTCGAGACAGGGTTT